TTCTATGTTCTATGTGTTCCTGAGTGGGTTCTCTCCAGGAATCTGGCTTCCTTCCACAGTCCAAAGACATGCATGTTAGCATTAATGGTGAAGTGGTCTTAGGTGTGAATGGTTCTTTGTCTAGCAACCTGTCAAGAGTGCACCTTGCTGCATGACCCACGGAAAATGACTTGATGAATGCACTCGATTTGGAGCCAGCCTCAAGTGGTCATTTGAGGAACTGCAGTCTTTAGCACTTCCGCGCTACCTTCACTTTTCAATTGCAGAAGTTTTCACTGGTGCAGAACAAATTAAATTTCACAAAACTGATTTTTGTGCAATTTAATTTATGACCAGGCTGAATGTTGCAAAATGTTTTTGTAGACATGGAATCACTGAATATAAAACAAATAATGAAGCAGTCTAAAAGTTTCAGATGTTCAATTTTACTGATGAGTAATAATTTTAAAAAAAATGTTGTTATTTGGTGCTTTGGTTTCCAAATGTATCTTGTCATTTTCAGGTTACATTCATTCACATTTCCTGAACAGCAGATGAGTGTGTGTCATTTTATCTATCTTAGCATTGATTACTTTGCGTCCAAACCGCAAGTTGCCTTCATTTGCGGCTATAAGAACAGTAGACTTTAGTACTATTTTGACATGCTGAATAATGAGAAAAACAATATTTCTCTCAATGGAGATTGGAACTTTTAGAGGTGGCAACAATAACATGAACCTAAATTTTGTATTTAAACAGGAGCTTGGAAGGTTGGAGTGGGGCAGAAGTCAAACTTTCGGGTTATTATCTCTTTGTTTTTTTTCATGGCGGAAAGATGCTTCCATACTTAAGTGACTGTTTTTAAAAAGGGAACGATAAACACAATGGAAAATATATTCTAGAACTAGCTGCTTCTCCCATTTCAATATTAAAGTGAAGCAGAAGAGAACAAGATCAGTGTTTGCTGTGTTGGTGTACCCGAGAACATCGGCTAGGATAATAAAAACACACCTTAGTGAGGAACATTTGACAAATTTTAAACAAAACAGCTGATACAGTCACCACAAAGATAATTTTTTTTTTTAAATCAGGGATTGAGTTATGATATATTTTCATCTCTTACAGTGTATTTGTTTAATTTAGGTGCAACAAAACTGGTATTAATCTGCTGTGTTGTTTCCAAATGATGCTTATGATTCATCTCATTCTCATTAAAGAAACAGCTGGACAATGTAGGAAGGATTCTGTTCTTTTTTTAATAATCAGAGTGTGTATGATAAGGGTTGTTTAACAATTTGCCAACACACACAAACACACTACATAAACTGCTTATGCCCTTACACAGTTGGCACACTACAGCGTTACAGTTTACACATGTATTCAATGAATGAACACATTTTCAATAAACTTGAGTGAATTTCATACTCATGCATGTGTGCACTCCTACTATACACACACACACACACAACCTGTCTCCCTCACTGACTACCGCTGAGCCTTCCCTGCTCCACTTTTTTTGTATCTGTCATCCAGGAGCATGTCAGTGTTTAACCCCCTCCCACGCTGTGACACACAGACACATATGCACGCATGCAGCCATTTTCCTTTACAAAAAAAAGGAAAAAAAATTGCACATAGTCACTCAAACATTTTTTTTACCCTTCTTTCTGTGTAGAAACACACATACACAAACCAGGACACTAGTTTAGACAGACACAGACAGCTGGAGCAGGTATTATAAGTACCTTTCCATTCCTTCTCTTTCCCTTGTTATGCCATTACTGAGGCTGATAGAGTCGGAGTTGTCATTTTCAGCCTGTGTGTGTGGCCACGTATATGTGTGTGCGTGTGTGTGTGTTGAGAGGTGTCACAGGCTCGCTGCATATTTGCTTTTGGCTCGCAAAAATCATTTAGTTGTCCGGTCAAAAAGGGCATCTGCCATCCAGCCACTCTCCTTCTCTCCGCAGGAGAGCACTCAAAACAGTTTAAGAGGCTGCAGGGTTTCTTCCTCATGACTGCATCCAGCATTTAGGCTGCTCTTGGATATTTAAATACTAGAGTGTTGCAACCGTAGCTCAAAATAAGAAGGTTTAAAAATTTTAAGCCTAAACTTGCGCTTTCCTGGTGAGTTGGGCTGAGGAGATGCTCAGGCTTTTTTTTTAATCCCCTGTGGTGTTTATGGAAGAAATAGTGATGTGGTCTAGCAAGTGGCGAAACTAGAGTGTCAGCTGCAGTCAGCGATTATCTCTCAGTAATCACTGCTCTGTTATATTTCAAAGTATCAAGTCATGCGTTTTCTTTGTCCTTTTGTTGTGTCAGGATGTGTAAGATCTATTTATGTTCGAAAGATGTGAAGAAAACAAATCAACTCTACTCTGCAGGTGATTGAAAAAATAAATAACACGAATCTTCCTCTATGCATTCACACTTAAAAAATCAACATGTCCTTGGTGTGTCCTTCAAATCCTTCACTTTGAAACATCCAAAATGTGTTAATTTTCACAGTTGAATGTCGGTTAAGGTAACATAAAATGCTTTGGACTATGATGAAAATGGCAGGCATCTCACATGTGTAATAGCTTTATGGGGCATGTGATAGTCTGCATGCACGGGGGGCCAAGGTGCCTGCAATAGGGACAAGTGCTTGGCCAATTTGCAGCGTGTTTATTTATGTGTGTGGGTGTAAGAGTAAATATCAGTACACCTTCCTAAACCAAGACTGGCCATAGAACAGTGAAATAAGCTCACAGTTGTCTGGGGGAATTAAAAAATGCGCTATGCGTAAAAGAATTAGCGGAACATATATGATAAGGACGCAGAAACATGGCACTAGACAGATTAGGAATAAGACGCACAGGAGCCAGTGGAGATAATCCCGTTATCTCGTTGGACGTAAAATGCCAATGTGAAGCATCCTCGGAGACCAGGATGAACTGAACATGAACTAATGCTGCGGATATACGGCAGGAGGAGTGGGGGCAATCAATACTGGGAAACTGAGGTAAACACTGTTATTCCTGACCTTAAGGAACATCCACGCAGTTTACCGCAATGTCACTGACGGTCTCCGTACTCCACTCATTGCCATCCCACACACGCGCGCACGCTCCGTGTTCCGTTTGACACCAGTTCGATGTCCCCCCCGCTAATGACATTGTTTCACCTTTGAGAATTCCCCATCAGTACCAAGAGCGCGTCTCCAATACATAAGAGATTATTGATGAATGGTCGCTGTCAAGTTGAGGAGAAAGGAAGCCGGGGTTCTAGTCATTAAAGGCTTGGGATAACCGGGTGCCTGTGGAGACGCACGCCGGTCATCACCTTTTAACCAGAGCGCATTTAACATTACGCGCGACAGGAATGCGCGCGTGTACACACGCAGACACGGACACAAGAGATACACAGATAACTACGAATTAAAAAAGCAAAAATACAACACGAGTATAACTCAAAGGACAAAAAGGAAGACAAGCAGACTTACAAAATGACCCTGGGCTCTGTTGGTTCCTCTTGTGATATTTCCGTTACTCCGTTTTAACGGAATCCTCAAATGCCGTGGTCGCAGTCCACGTCTCTGCAAATGTACCAAAGGATCACATAGAGAATGAGGAGAATGGCGAAGATGAAGAGCGCTACTAGGATGGCCTTGGTCACCGGAGAGATGAGCGACTGCATGTCAGGAGCAGAGCCGGGCAGAGCGGCGTGGAGCTCCGCGTCCGTCCGTACTCAGTCTGCTATCTCTCTCGCTCTCCTCCTCTCCTCTCCGCCGCTCCGGTGGCAACTGTTGAGGATGGAGCCTGGGGCTTTGCCGTGCTCAAGCACACACATTTATAACCTGACGCGCATGCACACGCACTCCGCCACGCGAATAGCCTCTCTACCGGCGATCCGGGCGCGCAACGCGTGGGGGCTTCCCTTGCTAGAAGCGGCACAGCAGTGGGTTGTATTTCCCCGGATCCACACTCCCTGCCTGTCGCACATCAGAAGACGCAGCGACAGGTGAGACTGGACGGATAACACCCGCGCTTCCTGCAAAGAGGACGGCAAAAAACAACAACAAAAAACACTTGAAATTCACCAATACAATACAATAAAATAAAAGCCCGCACAGATGTTTCCAGACACAGAATGGAAAAGTGCTAAGTTGCGCGTCGAGCTGCTGCGCTTGTCAGCAAACAGGTTGATTAGTATTCCTCACAGCGGCGTGTGTGAGTGTGCATGCGTATGTGTGAGATGGCTGGGGATGACAGGCTATCATCTTATCACGACCCTTCGAACCCCCCTTTTTGGCCAAGCTGTCAGTCCAAGGATTAAAATATAATTCTACATTTTTAATGTTTCCATTTCCACCTGATGCGCGCTTTATTCCTATTTTGTTGTATTACTAATCAGACTAGCCTATGCGGCTGGTACGTCTTGCGCATCTTTTTATAAGTATTAATCCTATAATAAAAAAGCAGATGGTGTGCAAATGCCATCAGAAACTCTTGTCACATATACTCCAGCTGGGCTAATTAAGACAAGGTCGTAACTGATAAGGCTAGAGGATATGCGCCTTTCCTCACATAAAATGCAAGATATCCATGTTTAAACCTATATGACCGATATACGTTAAGAAATTGGGAGTATGTTTTATTCAGAAAATACAAACACTACATGACAGAAGAGATGACTGCATTAAACAGCTTTTTTATGTGAGCAACAGTTAACAACCCCCGAAAAAGGTCGTGTATTTCTGCATGATATTCCTATCAGATCATCACGGTTACCCACCACCCAAGCGTTTCAAAAACATTAAATCACTGAAAAAAACGCGCGCTTATTTTAAGTTGCCATTTCCAAAAACGGTGCAAAACAATAATGGGATCAAAGTCTAGAAATAACTGGGCTATTAAGGCATCACTGATGAACATTTAGGCTGCAGAAGTAGGGCACCGAAAGGACATTATCAGTTGCATGATGAGAAGCGCAGCGTTCACCTCGAATACCACCGTGCACCACTAGATGGCGACAGATTTAAATTTCCATGTCCTGATGATGGTGTATTTGATTATTCCGCACACCATCACTGCACTGTAGTCTTGGATAAGAATCATGACAGCTAAACGGGCTTAATACGCGTAGGTAAGGAGAAATAAAATTAAGTTTTCAATTATTTTCATATCAAATATGCGCTACTCACGCGTATTATTGTTTGTCGTGGTAGAGAACAAGGTGGTTAGCGAACGTTAGCTTGTGAAGATTGTGGCCTATTTAGCAGAGTGGCTCAGGAAGCTAAAGCCAGTTATCACTGCTAATAAGTAAGGGGAAGTTGTGTTTTGTGTCACATGTGTCGTTTAGTGTGAGCTTAAACTTGCTGTTGAATGCCACATATAAGGAGGTACCGCAGCTATGAAGATGCAGTTGCAAACGAATGTTATATCAAAAGAGAAAGATCAATGTTTGCAGCAAATTGCTAGTGGTTAGCTCACTAGCTTCAAATAGGCCGTAAATGCTCGCGAAGTAGGTGTGTGCATATTGGAACTTCCGTTCTGGGCCTTCAAGGTAAAGTCCTAAGTAATGCACTTTATATTGCAAGGTTGCGAAAAATACGAGTTCGTAAGGTTCAGACGAACTACACAGTTTGTTTTTCAATGGGAATGGTAAATACTTAAAAGCCTGTTCCGGTATTGTTTACTTAAAGCGTTGAGGAAGCTTTTGATTTGAAGACGCCGTCGCCTGTCTTCCTGTGTTTTCTCCTGCTGTTGTTATGAATGTTTTTGAGGTTTGACGAGCGCAGCTAGCTACCTAGCTTGCTGCCTATCTAGCAAGCGACTTAAAGCCACTTAACCAAAGCGACACGGAGAGTGCGTTTGCATATGGTACTAAGTGGCTGTCAGTGTGTGTTAAAACCCCGACAGATATTTATCGGCCCCGCTGTTTCATTGTTCAGTTTGTGTTAGGAACAGCGTCAAACCTGTAACCAAACGGTCCACAAGTCCAGCGGTAGCTAGCTTTTTGCCAGGTTGAGCTCAAGTGATTTTCATGTTAGTCAGCCATCTAATCAGATAGTGCAATGTAACTCCGAATATAAGCAACATCGGCGTAATACAACAGTATAATGTACTGTGGTGGCTGATTGAAATAATCTATTCTCGATTTGTAGTTGTGTTTGTAAGAAATATACTAATCTTATGGTTTGACGGTTTAGGTTTATCACTTTACATATACTTGTAGTTCTTTTAAAACATTAGAAAACAGAGTTTAGAGTTTAAATTAGAATATATACAATCATAACTGCTACACTTTCATGAAGGCAAAAAAAAATGGAGGAAGAAGGGCAGAATGCAAGCGTACCTGTGCACGTCAAAACACAAGCATGTTAACATACAGACGGCGGCATGCTTCATGTGTTCACATGCTCAGAAACAAAAGAGACAGAAAATAAGCACAACAACTTTGAACTGAGACGCTAAACTGGCCAATTTCTACAGATCAGTAAAGATACAGCTTATCTGACTTAGTATGCAAGACTTTTCTTTATTTACATAGATTTAAATAGTCTATTGTTCGTGGTGTAGTGTAAATCTTTCTTCTCATGGTTTCATAG